AGAGAAAGAGGCAGGCCGTAAGAAAAGAGCTCCATAGGTCCCCCTAAGAGGACTGACTTTATTTGGAAGAGAGCATGGGGAGGTTCAACCTAAGGGTGCTATCAAAAACAGTGGAGATTTTGGTGGGAAGCAATTAAGAAGAGAAAGGCGCTTAATGAGAGCAACAATCCAAGCTATAAACCAACTGGAGGTATGCAATAGAAACCAAGAAAGGAAACTGCCAAAAAAACGTTCCTAGGCTAAAACAAACTTCAAAGACAGTTTTCAAAAACTACTGCTATAAAAGGTCCAAATTTGGAATATGAATAATAGTGAAGGGGAATATAAGGGAAGGGAGAAGAAATGTGTGGGAGATATCAGAAAGGGACACAGAACATAAAGACTTCTAACTCTGGGAAATGAACTAGGGGTGGTGGAAGGGGAGGAGGGCGGGGTGTGGGGGTGAATGGGTGACGGGCACGGAGGGGGACACTTGACGGGATAAGCACTGGGTGTTATTCTGTATGTTGGTAAATTGAACACCAATAAAAATTAATTTATAAAAAAAAAGGTCCAAATTTATTTGGATCTGACTATAAAGCAATTTATATCCCAGGGCATTGTCAAAAACAACAGCAATCAGCTAGCAATTAGTGAAGACTAATAGTAGGATGTGGTACCAAAAGAGTCAGAAAAGCAGACAGAGAAAGAAGCAAAGAGAGAACAGCTAAAAACCTTGTCATGGGGCAGCCCGGGTGGCTCAGTGATTTAACACCGCCTTTGGCCCAGGGGCTGATTCTGGGGACCCAGGATCGAGTCCCAGGTCGGGCTCCCTGCATGGAGCCTGCTTCTCTCTCTCCTTCTCTCTCTCTGTCTCTCTCTCTCTCTCTGTCTCTCATGAATAAATGAATAAAATCTTTAAAAAATAAAAAATAAAATAAAATAAAATAAAAACCTTGTCATGCCCGCTGGGGGAATGCATGTGCCCAAGGTGGCATTCTGAGGAGTGACAGAAGAACCTCCTGCACTACAGAGGAAACAGGCTTCACTGTATTGGTGAGTCAAGTCAATAAAAAATAATCAAAGGACAGCAACAGATGCATAGACCAATTGAACAGAATAGAGTCTAGAAAGAAACCCATAAATAGGGATTCCTGGGTGGCGCAGCGGTTTGGCACCTGTCTTTGGCCCAGGGTGCGATCCTGGAGACCCGGGATCGAATCCCACATCGGGCTCCCGGTGCATGGAGCCTGCTTCTTCCTCTGCCTGTGTCTCTGCCTCACTCTCTCTCTCTCTCTGTGACTATTATAAGTAAATAAAAAAAATTTAAAAAAATCTTAAAAAAAAAGAAACCCATAAATATGGTCAACTAAACTATAACAAGTGTGCCAAGGGTATACGATGGGGAAAGAATAGGCTCTTCAATAAATGATGTTGGGAAAACTGGATATTCACAAGCAAAAGAATGCAACTGAGCCCTTATCTTACACCATATATAAAATCACCTCAAGATGGATTAAAGGCTTAAACATAAAGCCTGAAATGGTAACACTCCTACAAGAAAACATAGGGAAAAAGCTCTTTGACATTGGCCTTGGCAATTATATTTGGATATGACACCAAAAGCACAGGGAAGTAAAAGCAAAAATAAATAAATGAGACTACATCAAACTGAAACTCTTCTGCATAGCAAAGGAAGCAATGAACAAAATGAAAAAAAAAACAACCATTCAATGGGAGAAAATATTTGCAAACCATACATCTAATAAGAATTTAATCTCCAAAATATATAAGGAACTCCTACAACTGAATTGCAAAGAAACAAAAAACCGAATCAAAACTGGGCAAGTGACTTGAATAAACATATTTTCAAAGGCATACAAATGGCCACCAGGTGCATGAAAAGGTACTCAACATTATTAATCAGATAAATGCAAATCAAAACTACAATGAGATAACAACCTCACGCTGTCAGGATGGCTATTATCAGAAAGGCAAGAGGTAACAAGTGTTGGCTACAGTGTGAAGAAAAGGGAACCTTTGTGCACTGTTGATGCGAATGTAAATTGGTGCAGTAACTATGGAAAACAGTATGGGGTTTCCTCATAAAAACAGAACTACCATATGATCCAGCAATCCCACTTTTGGGTATAGATCCAAAGGAAATGAAACGAGGGTCTCAAAGAGGTATCTGCATTCCCATGTTTATTGCAGCATTATTCACAATGGCTAAGATATGGAAACGACCTAAGTGCCCATCGATGGATTAATGTATGAGGAAAATGTGCATCTATATACAATGGAATACTATGCATCCATAAAATGTTGTTGCATTTGCAACATGGATGCAACATGGATGACCCAGGAAGACATCATGCTAAGAAAGCAAATACTATATGATCTCACATGTAGAATCTTAAAAAGTTGAACTCAGAACCAAAGAGTAGAGCAGTGGTCACTAGGATCAGGGATGTAGAGATGTTGGTCAAGGGGTACAAACTTCCAGTTATAAGATAAATAAGTTCTGGATATCTAATGTACAGCATGGTGACTGTAGTCCATAACATTATACTGTATAGTTGAAATTTGCTAATAGATCTTAAGTGTTCTCATCACACACCAAAAAAAAAAAAAGAAAGAAAGAAAAATAAAAAAAGGAAATCATGTAAGATGATGGATGATTGGAGTAATCATGTCACAGTGTATCCATTTTTCAAAACCTCACATTGTGCACATTAAATATATACGATTTTATTTGTCAGTTATACCCTAATAAAGCTGGGGAGAAGGAGGCATAAAAATAAATAAATAGCTTTCCTTCAAAAAAAAGGTAAAATATTCAGGAATAAATTTAATAACAAAAAATGCACTGAAAACTACAAAACATTATTGAAATAAATTAGAGAAGATCTAAATGAATCGAAAGATGTCCCATGTTCCTGGTTCAGAAGACTTAGAAAAACTTTTTAAAATGTTTTAAGCACCACATATGTACTATAGCAATAAATGAGAGAAAGCAAGCTAAATGCCCAATAATAGTGAACTAATGAAAAGAAATAGTGGTATACCCATATAACTGAATATTATGCAGTTGTCAAAAATTTTGAAGGTAAAATTATGTAGGAAAACGCATGTTATAATACTAAGGAAAATGCAAATCTGACAAATTACACACTATGGTGTGGTCCTGATGGTGTAAAAATGTCTAATAATAAATATTTACTACTTTTCTATCCACGAATTTTGTTTCTATATCAAACTTTTCTTTAATTTCTACAATAATTTATTACTTTTATCCAAAAAAGTATGTACTTTTTAAAGAAAAACAATAGTCATTTCATTCCTAGATGTGAAGTGCAACTCCATAGCCATACTTCACACCACCCGCAGGGGTTCCTGAAGCCTGTCTCTTGGCCTGGCAGGGGTTGGGTCCCAATTTTGTGTTAGCTTCACCTGTGCATCTCAGCTGTGCCCATTCTTTCATGTCTTGACTCCCAGAGAATCCCTTCAGTGCCTGTCTTTCCATGAATAAGGCTAGTCCCACTGAAATCTGCCCTTATCTCCCACTTGTGGAAAGTGGACTGGCAGGTAGGTACCCACTCTGCTCAGTGGTTGGTCCTGCCAGGCAGAGAAGGAAGCAGGATTTGCCACCAGGTGGAGCCCGGGTTCCCAGAAATAGGGAGCCTGCCTCAGGCCTGCCTCTTTGCTCCTCCCCAACAGTGAGTGTACAAGAAGGCAGGGGACTTGACACACCCACCTCCCAAACACACATGGAATGAACTTCTATTTTAACTTAGTTCAGCTCATTGCTGAACGTGTACCACCAGTTCTTCAGTTGGCGCTGGGGAGGGGAAGGGCTGTGAGCCTGAGCCTAGTAAGTGGGAATGAAGTGTGGGGGGCGCAGGGCAATACAGAAGACTTATAAAACCGTGTCACAGCAGCGGGAAAGCTGACCACCCATGGAAGCTTCCTTCTAGGGAGCAACATCTTCTACTAACATCTCTTTCAGGTTTCAGCCTGAAAATTAGAAAGCTGACCCATGACTCCGCCAGGCAGCGCGCTCCCCAGGTGCCGGTCCTAATTCCTGGAACATTTTTGCTGTGGCGTCCACCACATCTTCTTTCCCAGAACTTCCAGTCAGTGGTCCCGCCCCCCCCCCCCAGGAGCCATCACCAAGCAAGCCTAAGTCCTTCCCCACCGTATCCGTCGCCCCGCCCCCAGGTTTCTTCAGCCACCCCGCCCCCCACCTCCCCAAGCCCGCGGGCCTCTCCAGACAACACCTAAGTGTTCAGAGGCGTGTTTTGCTGGCGCGGCCTCCCTCTGGCTGCCCTGCTCCCTGCTCTCCCCGGAGGATCTCTTGTCCTGAGAGCGGCTGGCATCTGACCGCCTCCGGTGCCCACGCGCACCCTGCCGAGAGTGACATCCAGCCAAGCCTTTGGATGAAGCCAGAGCTGACCGAAGTCCCTGGCTTCCAGAGACCACTGTCCGTGTCAGCTCTGGTGTGGCTTCCTCCAGGGAGTCGTCTTCCCGGAACCCCCAGGTGAGTCTCCCTTTTCCCTGTAAACTCCCAGAGCACCGCTGGTCTAAGAAACCATGGCATGGGGCGACCCCCAGTCACACTGGGAACTTGGTGAGTGTAGGGACTGCGCCTCGCTTTCTGGAGGTCCCCGGGAACCCAACCCTACGCCTCCCCGGAGCCGGGCGCTGAGGCAAGCAGAGGCAGAAAGGAAGGGTGCAGAGCGGGAACAGTGAAAAGGGAACTGAGCGAGTGAATGAACGGATGCACGGGGAAGGGGATGGCAGCTTGGGTGGTCCCAGCCCCGAGACGCCTAAAACAGACACCAAGTGAAAGCCGCGACAGGCAGAGCTGCGCGAGCCCTCGCGTGCCCGCCGCGGGTCGCGAGCAGCCTGAGCGTCGGGGCGGGCGGGGGGCGGGGCGGACTGGGGGGCGGGGCGGACTGGGGCGGGGGCGGGGCTGGGGCTGGGGGCGGGGCGGGAGGCTGCGACCCTGGTCCCCGCGACCTGCGTACACGCGCGAACCCGCCGTGCCGAGGCTCGTGGAGCTCGCAGCCCTCCGCCATGCCCTCCTACACGGTCACCGTGGCCACCGGCAGCCAGTGGTTCGCTGGCACCGACGACTACATCTACCTCAGCCTCGTGGGCTCCGCCGGCTGCAGCGAGAAGCACCTGCTGGACAAGCCCTTCTACAACGACTTTGAGCGCGGCGCGGTGAGGGCGCGGGGCTAGGACCGGGCTGGGCACCCCCAGGGTCCCGTCGCGGCGACCCAGACCAAGTCGGGGCGGGGGGCGCCCGGGACCTGTTGAGGTGGTAGGGACTGGGCTAGGGGAGTGTGCAGGACTCCGTCGGGGCGTCTGGGACCCAAGTGCAGGGGCGGGAGGCTTGCAGGGTGAGACCTGCAGGGCGCCGCGCTTCTGCCCCGGGAGCAGGAGAAGGCGCGAGGTCCGCTCACCGTTTCACAGCTGGGACCCGAAGGCTCTGAAAGGTTCCTCGTTGGGCAAGTGCTGTGGGCAGCGCTACTCGTGCCCCATTTTGTAGGGCTCCTTCCACATGTGGGTCGTGGGGTGGGGGTTTGGGGGCGTGCAGGTCCTTGCCCTACTGTGAAGCACAGATGGCACCTCGAAGCAGCCTCAAGCTGTGGGGAGAAAGAAAGCACAAGTCTGGGAGTTCAGAGCTCTGGGTTGAATCTGGGCCTGACTGCTAGCACACTCTGTCCCCTCACTGGGACTCCGTTCCCTCAAATGTAAAATGGAAAGGATGATTTCAGGCTGGTCCAGGAATCTGGTTGAGCCTAAGCCCAGCTACTGGCCCAGAGTGAAGTTAGCAGATGTCTTCACACCTGTATAGCGCACATTCCCAGGACAGGTCCCCAAAGGAATTTAGAGGGAAGAGCAAGAGAACTCAAGCAAGAAGCCTTTTGCAAAACCTGGAGATTGTCTGTCTCCCAGCAGGGTATACACTAGGGAACATTTCCACCCCAGACATGAGGGCACAGTGGATCAAGAAGAGGAAGGAGGGCTTCTCCTCTCCCCTTCTTACTAGATATCCTGGAGCTGTGGGAATCCAGAGAGCAAAAAAGAGCCAGTATTTACTGTACCTCTACTCTGTGGTGCCACGTACAGGTGGCCCCATTTAGAAGTGAACTCCTGATGCTGATCTGGGCATGAATTCCAGCCCTGTGGCTTTCTCTGTGAGCATGGCAGGTCATGATCCTTACTGAGCTTTTAATGACTTGCCCAGTCCACTGCCAAGTGCATAGGAAATGTTCATTGTATGATTATTGTGACAGTCTCAACACACTGCATGCCCAACACACTTCCATCGCCCCCCAGCTCCTGAACTGGACCAAAAAGATTCAGACTTTACAAAGTGGTCTTTTCACCCCCTAGTTGATTGTTAGGTTGAACCATATGTCAAAATTGCTCATAGTTGACAATTTTTGATAAGCAAGACTGGGAATTTCATATGGTTCAACTGAATATTTCTTGGATAAAATTCATGAATTGGGTTTTAAGTCTGTAGAGGCTGCAATAAGTAAATAATAGTCTACTGCTTTTCCCAAATTCAAACTCAAAGTGGGCTTGATTCATCCCCAGGAGCTTCAAAATCTTGTTATTAGAGGACTTGGCACTTAACCAAGTTCAGGACATTAGCCTGGTCCAAGCTCCCTTTAGGAAGAGTGAGGTGTTAAGTATAAAAACAATGGTCTGTTGTTTGGTGTGCCCATTAGGGAACTGGCCCAGAGGACCGTGGTGCAGGAGGGCCAATAAGACATCCATTTGGGAAGATGACACCTTCTGCCATTTCTGTAGGACTTTCATTTAATTACATTCATTCATGGTTCCCTCAACATTTCAGGGAGGAGGATAGGATACAGATTATTTCCCCTTAATAAGGGGACTGCAATGGGCCCCATTTTCCTTTATATACACACACATGCGCGCGCACGCACACACACACACACACACACACATCTGTGTGCTCATGCTGTATAGGACAGGGCACCCCACATGTGGCCTCTACCAGGAGGAGACACTGTAGTGTGACAATAACAGGATCATTAGAGGAGGGGTAAAAGCACTGTTCTGTTCATTATTTCCCCACCTTGAGAATTCATTCAAATGACACTGTGACAAAACATCTCAGTCAAAGTTCCAGAAGCAAATTTCAGGAGAGGTTTGCATGTCACATTTCCATTGAGGTAGGAGAGCCGCTGGGCTGCAGGGGAATTGGTTAGTTCCTAAAGACTCTGAAAAAAAATCCACTTTTGAGAAAGTTCCTGTTGATGCAAAGCTACTCCACACTTTGTCTTGCACAGCCCAGAGCTACTTCCTCATTCTCTAGCTGCTGTCTCTTTAAGGACAGTCTGTTCCTGTTGGGTAAAGGTGAAAAAGAAACATTAGAAGAGGAAATATTTGCTGAGAAGAACTGGCCATCCCCTCTTACTTGGGAAAGGGTTCTAATCATTATGGTCAACAACAGTCACAGTCACAACAATAAAGGCTGTTACCAGGCAGCCTGTCCAGTCATCCCTAGGTCTTTGGCAGGTCAACATGCACATTCCTCTGGGCACAATTCGATCAAATGATAGAACTGATTTCTTCTCCATAAATTGAGTTACAGATTCCTAGTTATTCTCATCAGAGTTCCACATACTGATTCGGGTCAGGACTGGGAATTGAAGCCCTTCAAAGGTGAGATTCTCCTGTGAACGGTCACACCCTCAGTGGCTTCCCTACTGCCTGCTTGGGAAAGCCCATACCATGAACCCACACAGCCCAGAGACTGGCCCAAGTCTGGGCAAATTGATTTGTCTCCTAACTTCTGTCAGTTGAAAGCAGTTCACATCAAATGGGACAACTTTTACAGATCTGAAGGTCTCTGGGAAATATTACTTGATCCATTTTCATTCCAAGACAGCACTTTTAGGAAAGCTAGGGACAATACAGAAGTGTTTAGTATATTGTCCTTAAATGTATTCAGTGAGTGTAGACAAGTCTTACAACTATATATACTTCTCAAGTATATTCAGGGTATGTTAATCTTATTAATCTCCCTATGAAGCGAATACTCTAGAATACCTCCTCAGTAATAATATATTAATGAAAAATAAACATTTCCCTGTAAGCTTCAATCTCTATCCCCTAGTCTTCCCTCTCTGTCCTCTCTTCCCTACATTCTGGCTCCTGTTTCTCCTTTTCTTCCTTCCTGTCCCCCTAGTTCCCATCACCACCCAATGTCCCCCATTTCTCTCTTCTTTTCTGCTCCATTTTCTCCCTCTTGCTCTGTTTTCCAGTGTCCCCTAGTTCCCTCTTCCCTGCTCCATAACCTCCTCATCTCCCTGCCCAGCTCCTTAACCTCCATCAATATGAGCATCCCAGGCTGGGCCTCAGGCCTCTGCTCTGTCCTTGCTTCAGCAGAGAGATCCCTCTCCCTGTCCCAGCAACAGCAGGGATCTGGGACAGAAACAAAGAAACCTTTCTAAAAATGCTGATATAAAGATCAAATGAAAAGTGACCAGCTAACACATTGATGAAATATTCAAAAGCCTTAAAACCATATATGTAATAAAGAGTTGAAAGCAATGAGTAAAACTAGAAAACTGGCCCTTCTGTGAGATGAGACTGGGGAATTGCATGTTTCCCTGCCTGTGCATCCCTCTCCAGCATCTGACCATTGCACCTGCTACCTCTAACTCTAGGCTCTAACCTCCTCCTTCTACACATGCATTCCCCACCTCAGGGGTCTTGCTCTCTCAGTTCCCTACATCTAAATGCCTTGCCCATCTCTTCCCCTCTCCATTCACCTCACCCCCCAAGAGCTGCCACAAATGCCATCTGTTAGGCTTTACCATATCCTTCCACTCCACTCCATGTTGGCCCTTCATACTTTATATCAAGAGGTTGAACCAGGGCTAAAAGCAAGGTCAGGTGTCTCCCAGTCCAGGGCTTTACACATGATATGATCAGGGGAACAGTGGGAGGAACTTGGGCTTGGCCATCCACAGATATGGATTCTAAATGCAGAGCCACCAGTTACTAGCATGGTAGCTACCTTAGTTTCCATCTGTAAAATGAGATAATCATCTTTTTGGCCATGTTCATATACTATATTTATTGAGGGCCTGTTATGGGTAATCCACTGTTGATAGCATCCAGTGTACAGAATGGACATGAGAATTCAACGTTTCATGGCAAACAGATGATAGACACAGCATTCGCCCAGTGTACTGGCCTACAGAGAAGAGACATCTCGCAGTTCCTAAGACCTGACTTTGCTGTCTGATGTACAGAGCCCTGAGATCTTCCTGGAGGCCTTACTCTCTCCTCTATGACTCCCCAATAGTGGCTTCCTTAGGTGCCAGAGCCACAGACTAGACTTTGTCCCTAAGACTTTCTGAGTTGGGTGAGACTGAATTCCTCTGGCCCTGGTTTACCTCCTATAGTACCAGGTCTGAAGCCAGGACCAGCCAGATACAAGCCAGACAGTCAGACCTGTCACTCTCCCCCTGCCAAAGACCCCATTAGATGGCATGTTGAGTCCCTGTTAGTCTGTCTGGCCTGTTCATTCTAGGTGAAACTCCAGGGCCCTCTGCCAGCCATCTATGGGGGTGGTGGGGGAAGGGGACCTGAAGAGTTCCATTCTCCTGTGACTGCACAGGTCACAGGTATGCTGAATGGAGACCCCACTGTCCTCAGAGAAGCTGCTCCATTTCTTCCTGGTCAGTTACCACTGCCAGCTGGACACCTAGCCCTCCATCTGAGAATCACCCAGTCCTGCAGAGTCTTCTTTGGTCCCAACTCCCTTCCCTTTTTATTACAAGGTCCTGGACTCACCTTTCCCAAGATAGTGTCCACACTCAAGGCACTTTTACTTTAGAATGGCTGTCCTCTCATCACTTACCCTGGCATCAAAACCACAGACACTGTCAACCCACTCTAGCTCCTTGGAGCCACAGGAAAGCCACTTCCCTGGAGCAGCTGTCCAGGCCCAGGCCTTACCACATGCTGACTTCCCTTTGCCTGCCTGCACTGCCAGCAACAAAAATGCACATGGCCCCTTCTTCACTCTCAGGAATTCTCTCCAGATTTTGAGCCAAGAGGTTTGAGCTCACAGGCTCAATTTCTTCCTCCCACATCTACTTCTGGCTACTCAATTTGCTGTGTGTAGTCAGGGATGGATCACAGCACAGAGGCCCATACTAGCTCATGGCTGTTCATAGGCAGTGACCTCAGGAGTCCAGGAAGAAGGACCTGTTGATTCTGATGCACACAGCAGCTGGTTACCTGTGGCCTTGGAGAAAGAAGCCTACTTAGATATCATATCACTTGGATTTCTCAATGGTCCAGCAAGCTAGGCATTCTTTCCCCTCGTTAGATGAAGAAACAGAGCTTCAGGGAGTAAAGCAATTTGCTGAGGCCCATGACCAGTCACTTTGGATCTGCAGTATGACTTCAGAATGAGGCTGGCTGAGATGCCCTGTTGCATGGCTCACCTTGCCCTCTGCCCCATACTGCCCACCCCCAGTCCTTGGTTGGATACTCTGTCATGGCCCCATGGGAGAGCTGAGGTCTCTGCCCATCTGCCTGGCTGGCAGGTGGAGTCTGGAGTGGGGAGAGGCCCTGCAAATGTCCAGTGCCTATTCTCCTTCTCCAAATGGACACTGGGCCCGCTGTTGCCTCAGCTCAGGGGGTCTCCATTCTCTCCCAACCCCAGAAGCCATCCCACAAGAGCTGTGTCCTTCCTTTCTTCTTTTCCTCCCAGCTCCTCAGGTCATTCAGCCCCTCACTGGGACTCCTCTCCCACCCCTGCATCCTGGGACCTGCTGGCTTCTTCCCAGGCATCAGCACCCTGCAGTACAGACAGGCTCCCCAGCTGAGGTCCCACAGGCCTGGGGGTCAGTGCTCTCTGAGACCTCACCTGTGGATTCTGCTCTCCCACAGGACACACTGTGGGGTAAAATAGTTCTTTCACCCTGCAGGATTCTGCATTCTGGCAGCACAGATGTGCCTGCACACCTGTTAGGGACCAAGAAGCGTGATCTCAGCACAGAGGCCTGGCTCCTTGGTCCTCAGAAACTCTATGAGGACCCAGGCTCAGACCACAGGGCACAGGGAGGAGGCTTCCTCTTTCTAACCACAAGTGTCTGGCGTCTTCAGTAACCACAACATGCGAGCTGCACTGTGCTCCGAGCCAAGAGGTTTGCTGAAAATACCTAACTTCCCATTCGTCTTAGGAAGTCCTCCCTGGGGCTCCTCTGGAAGCTTGGTGAGAGAAGGTTGGAAATAGAGACATATGGGGTGACACGCAGAATGAACACCCCTCCCCTCCATTTACTTCACTATCATGCTGATAGTGTTCCTCTAGGTTCTGCCATCAAGGAAAAAGTTCAAGGGTTGGTGAAATCTGGCTTAGAAAGTACCTTGAGGGGCAGTCCGTGTGGCTCAGTGGTTTAGCGCCGCCTTTAGCCCAGGGCATGATCCTGGAGACCCGAGATTGTGTCCCACATCAGGCTCCCTACATGGAGCCTGCTTCTCCCTCTGCCTGTGTCTCTGACTCTGTCTCTCTGTCTCTGTCTCTGTCTCTCTCTCTCTCTGTCTCTCATGAATAAATAAATAAAATCTTTTTTAAAAAAAGGTACCTTGGGGGAGCACTGAGGCCAGGGCTCCCCAAACCTGCTGGTGTATAGAACACCCAGTACAGTGCTTGAGCTCTCCTTTCTTTCTGTCTGCCATCAAGAGCTGCAGACACACAGATCACCCCAAAGCCATGGAAGAGCTGCCCAGCACCCCACCATGCCTGCCCATCTCCTAGAGTCAGGAGCCTGACAGCCTGGAGCACTGAGGCACTGAGCAGCTCAGTGCCAGGGACCTGGTGGGCAGTCTGCGCATGGCCTGCAGTGGCACCTTTTAGCAGCAAGACCAGCCTCAACCCACCACTGTGCCACAGATGTAGTGGGAACTGCTTATCTGATTTTCTTGACCTTGCTGTGGCTCAGTGAACAGCACCTGCCCTAGGATGACAAATATCTATGCAATTTCACTTGTGTCTGAGCCTCCCCATTTCACTCAGTTATCTGCTCCCCAGAGAATAAGAGAGACATGGAGCAGCTGTGCTGGAATGGTCTGAATTAAAATTCCATCTCTGCAAAGAAATAGCTGAAATGGGACTTAGTAAGCCTCAATATCTTCATCTGTGACACAGTCATGACTGCCCCCCACCCTCACATCATTGTGAGGATCTATAGTTATCAGCAGCAAGCCCTTTGCAAGATGGAAAGGGCTACCCAGAATGCAAAGGCCAGTTTGCCCCTCCAGCCTGTAGGGTGGAAAGGCCAGCAGCTCCCCTGCCCTCATCATGAGCAGGGGCATCTGAAAAGGACCCTCACCAAGCACAGCCTACCAGAGGACATCCCGGCCTGGAGTCTCCTCTCCTCCAGCCTGAATCATGTGCAGACAGCAGGATGTCCCTCTCTGAGCAGCAACATCCATCTCTTACTCATTAGACCTCCATCTCCATAAAGGCAGAGCCCAGGACTTGTCCACCTGTCTCCTAGGTACAGCACAGAGCCTTGCCGAGGGCAGGCATTCTGCAAACATCTTGGCTAAATAAACTAAGGGGTGATGCAGAGGCTCAGGAACCACCCCCCCTCCAGACAATCTGATTTGCCCTTTTTTTTTTCTCTCTCAGGTTGATTCTTATGATGTGACCGTAGATGAAGAACTGGGCGACATCCAGCTGGTCAAAATCGAGAAGCGTAAGTATTGGCTCCATGATGACTGGTACCTAAAGTATATCACGCTGAAGACGCCCTGTGGAGATTACATCGAGTTCCCTTGCTACCGCTGGATCACTGGTGAGGGCGAGATTGTCCTGAGAGATGGACGTGGTGAGTATTTCAAGCTCCTTCCACTCCTTGAGCTTCCCAGGAACCCAAGGGGTTTGCAGGCCCTCCTTCCTCAAAGAACTGTATTCATGGGAATAATAACACTGCTGCTCTGTGCCTCGATGCGCTTGTAGGTGGTATGATGTTCCTAAGGGTACTAATAAGTCCCACACTCAGAGGGCGGAGTGAGAGGCCCCCAGCCACATGCTCAGCTGTCATCCCTCTGTGCTGCAGTCCTTCAGGGGCAAGCTTATGATTCCCTTTTTGTCAGAGGGCACCTAACAGCAAATACCTGTGGAATATCTCCCTAGATGGGCAGTTGTCCAGGTGAATTTTCATTTCTTCTCTCTGTGAGGTCATAGCGGGGCTTAGGCTCCAGGGTATCCCACACAGGACTGGGAAGGGAAAAAGTTGACTAGGAGTGCCCCAAGCACAGCCTAGAGGGGCCATGGTCATGCCTGGTGGTCATGGGCACCAATTGTTAAATCTGAAGTCCTACATTTCACTTAAAGAGAAAAGAACTTAAAATCTGCCCTTTTCAGCAAGACCCTCCAATGTGCCAACCTGGCACTTTCTTTCTTATTCCTCATAAGAGACAGACAGCTGGCCTGGTATGGAGGAGCAGAGAGAAGAATGGATGGCAAAGGTCAGCTAAAGCCACTGTCTCTCTGAATGAGTCCCCCTTGCATGCTAGCCTCTTAGTGTGTGAGTGTCAAACCCATGCCTTGGCAAAATTCTGACTCCAAATGATGGTCCTTCAGTTTGCTCACACTCTAAACCCAGGACAAGAAGTCTTCAAAGCTATGAGTCACTAAAATAATGAGGAAGAGGACAGATGCTTTTGTCAGTAAGATGTTTAATACTTCCTAGTTGGCAGTGCATTCCTATCCTAGTAGATCATTCATTCTTCACAGAGGTTCAGTGGGGTAGGTAAAATGGAAATGATTACTACCCCCATGTTTTAGCTAAGAACACCAAGACAAAACAGGAAAAACTTCTTTTCTACCCAGTATTCAGGCTGCACCCCATGGTTTCTCACATGGAATTTAAGAAACCAAATTCCAAAAACATTTCTGAGCTGAATGACTGGAGCTAGGAGGATTTTTGTCTCCCGACCTGACAGGAAAAAAAAAAGTCACAAAATTCACTGTGTCTTGTGGTGGCCAGAATGTGAATAGTTGTGGACAGGGTACTTCTCTTTCTCTAGAATTAGAAAAACAACTAGCTCCAGGTCTCCCTCATACCCCTCCAACCCAGGATTCTTGGTTGTGCAGTCCTTTTTCCCACAGACCCTGAATCCTTTTCTGGCAAAAAATATATGGCACATTCAAATGCAGATATTTAGAAAGGTGTAGGCCAGTATGCAGGGGAGCACACCAGTGTGCAGGCCATTAGCACTGCTAGTTCTGGCGGGGTGGGGGGAGGGAAAGAATGCCAGAATAATCCCAGAAGGGGGGTGTCCTGGAGACAGAGCTCCATTAGGAGTAGCTGTAGCCACCAGTAGAGATATATACAGTGTGGGGAAGCATGGAGAGAGGACCTGGGGAGTAAATGTCCTCTCCTCATTCTCCCATGCCCTTCTCTCTCTGGTCAGGGTCCCCAGCAGCTGAACCCCATGTGAAGCCCAATGATGCAGTTCATTCCAATGAAGAATAAGATCAGGGCCTTCAGGGACAGGACAAGGTGAAGGCTAGATCTGGAGGGGCACATAGAAGCTATCCATCGATTGCTGTGAAACAATCTTAGTGGCTTTAAATAGCCATTTTATTTTGTTCATGATCTTATGGGTCAGAAATTTGGGAAAGACTCAGCCGGGCAGTCATCTGTGAGCCATGGAGCATCAGCAGAGGGGGAAGGACTAGCAGGCTCACTCCTAAGATGGTTCTTCTCTCACATGTCTAGTGCCTTGGGGCTCCTTACCCTCTCTCCCCACATGGAATCTCTCATTCCTGAAGCCTTCTCTATGGAGTTGGGCTTCCCACAGCTTGGCAGTCACAGGATAATTGCACTTCTTATGCAGCAGCTGGCCTCCAAGAGCAAGTATTCCAAGAGATAGAAAGTGGAAGCTGCCTGTCTCTTCCTGTCTGGGCCTAGAAACTTACGGAGGATGAATTCCACCATATTCTATTGGTCCAAGCCCACCCAGACTCAAAGCCCACCTCTCAATGGAAAGAATATCAAAGAATGTATGGCCATCTTTAATCCACCACATAGCATAACAAGCAATCCTTGGGACAACCTGGAAATGAAGGGGCCCAGCCCACAAATGACATGGTAACCTCTGCGATCTAATACTTCCCATGGCACTTGGGGTGAACACAATAGTCAGAGGACCATCACTGTGGCCCCAGGGATCCAGAGCACCTGTGTGAAAATATAGCTTCATTAAGACACTCATATCCATGTTCTGGAACCAGCTCCCACTCCTGAGCCTTGGGGCATTCAGTCTAGGTCTTGTCACCTGCTGTGCTCCCAAAAGTTCCATCGGTCACCAGGGTGGAATGTCCAAAATCCTCAGGGCCAGGAGAAATGGAACTGATGCCTTTTGAAACTTGGTATGTGCAGTTCCACATGTTCTGACATATTCATACCACTGAAAGTGAAGAGACCCAATTTTTCAGAGCCAGGTACCTGAGAAATAGGCTGGTTCTTTGAGATAGAATAGAGATGATGGATGTTGAATGCCTACATCCATGTCTCCTACAGCTAGTGACAGCTACCATTACAGGACTCATCCTGCCTTCCATGGGTTCAGGCTGCCCCCACTGGATGGCTTTCCATCCTCACAGTAGAATAAAGAGATGCCCCATTGATCTTCCTCTCCAGGCCCCAGTTCCCAGCCCTGGACTGGAGCTGCCTCTACCAGAAGGAGCTCTGAGTGCAGGCTAAGAACTATTGGGTGCTGGTCTGCAATGAGTCAACTGCAGCCTGAGAGTAGGCATTTACCAATGCTTATAGCAACTTGCAAGAATTATTCTATTATTGTTGCATATTATAATAAAAGCAGGCCTTGTGTTCTGAATGTCCTTGGTTTGTTTTTTATTTCATTTTTCTAGTAGTTAATTTTTATTGTGTTTTACAAAAAATATCAGACTGTGGTGGAATGGAAATTTTCAGAACCAGAGAGCTGGAGAAGCGCTATTATAGACCCCCTTTTCTGGAATCCTACTATCTGGGCTCCCACTAATTGTGTTCACTGGCTCTACCTTAAATAACAGTATAAAAGGTAGTCATGAACCAGCTTCTCCTGCTTGAAATTCCCTAAGCAGCTTGACCCTGCCCTTAGCTACTTGCCCCACTTCTGAAATGAGAACCAAGATGCCTTTGAATCTGGGCTAAGAGGGAGGAAGAGGCAGCACAAGTCCATCATGATTATAAGGACAGTAGTGTTAATTATTGTTCCTACTTACTAAGTGTCAAGCACTATGTGAAGTGCTCACTAAATCCCCACTATGACCCTAAAAACAGGCATTATTATCTCCATTTTACATGTGAGCAAGATAAGGCAACTTGCTGTATACACTATATGCCTGCTGGAGAGAGGTAGAGAATCATTGGCCTGCCTCCATAATGCCTGATGAGAACCAAGCCTGGCTCACGTATCTGGATGTGATTCTCAGGGCCCCAAAGTACAAGGTCCTCAGCTTGCTGAGTGAACAGGCAGAAAGAGGGGGAACTGGATTTGTCTTTTATAGTGGGAGTGCCTAATCTTGTGTTGAAACTCCACTAATTAGCTGTGTGACCTTCAGCAAAGTTCAAAGGCAAAGCTGTTCAACCTCCCCAAGCCCCAGTGTCCTCAGTATGAACAGGGCAATATTCTGAGGCATGTAAAGATAGGGGCAGGGTTTGTGTGAGGGAAACCCGAATATTGAACATTGTTACCCCTTCTTCCCATGGCTCGTCTCACATCTGTCCTTTCCTCACAGCAAAGTTGGCCTGCGATGACCAAATTCACATCCTCAAGCAGCACAGACGTAAAGAGCTGGAAACACGGCAAAAACAGTATCGGTGAGTTAAGACATCAGACCAAATGGCCATAAATAAACTGTGCCCAGAGGTTATGGCCGACCACTGCTGCTAAGATGACCAAGCCGCCAGTTTGCTGTAGTGCTCCTCAATCCCCAACCTCCACCTGACCACCACTATAGGCAGAGATGGTAAACAGCATTATGGAAAAAATTGAGGTCAACCACATCAGCATTTAGGAAGAATGGGACAGCAAAAGCTTAGATTTACATTAATGTTCTTTAGCCTCCCATTGTAGAGATTACCTCTCATTTTTTTATGTCTTCTGATAAGAATTCAATTATAAAGTGATATATAATCTGCAACAAAATTGACAAATATTTAGCTAACAGACCAAGGAAAAAGAGTGAGAGAACTCAAATTATTAAAATTAGAAATAAGAGAGGAAGTATAGTACCCACCTTGCACAAATTAAAATGACTCAAAGGGAATGCTATAAACAACTGCATGAACAGTTGTATAACACATTAGATAACTTGGGTGAAATGGGCAAATTTCCAAAGAGGCAGAAATAACCAAAACTGAGTCAGGAATCAATAATCTTTTTTTTTTATTGGAGTTCGTTTTGCCAACGTATAGCATGATACCCAGTGCTCATCCTGCCAAGTGCCCTCCTCAGTGCCCATCATCCAGTCACCCCAACCCCTCGCCCACCTCCCTTTCCCCCTTGTCATTTCCCAGAGTTAGCTGTCCCTCATGTTTTATCACCCTCACTGATATTTTCACTCATTTTCTCTCCTTTCCCTTTATTCCCTTTCACTAATTTTTATATTTCCCAAATGAATGAGACCATATAATGTTTGTCCTTCTCTGATTGACTTATTTCACTCAGCATAATACCCTCCAGTTCCATTCCACGTCAAAGGAAATGGTGGGTATTTGTCATTTCTAATGGCTGAGTAATATTCCATTGTATACATAAACCACATCTTCCTTATCCATTCATCTTTCTATGGACACTGAGGCTGCTTCCACAGTTTGGCTATTGTGGACATTGCTGCTAGAAACATCGGGGTGCAGGTGTCCCGGCATTTCACTGCATCTGTATCTTTGGGCTAAATCCCCAGCAGTGCAATTGCTGGGTCGTAGGGCAGATTTATTTTTAACTCTTTGAGGAACCTCCACACAGTTTTCCAGAGTGGCTGCAGCAGTTCACATTCCCACCAACAGTGAAGGAGGGTTCCCCTTTCCAACATTTGTTGTTTCCTGCCCTGTTAATTTTCCCCATTCTCACTGGTGTGAGGTGGTATCTCATTGTGGTTTTGATGTGTATTTCCCTGATGGCAAGTGATGCGGAGCATTTTCTCATGTGCGTGTTGGCCATGTCTATGTCTACCTCTGTGAGATTTCTGTTCATGTCTTTTGCCCATTTCATGATTGGATTGTTTGTTTCCTTGCTGTTGAGTTTAAGTTCTTTTTTTATAAATTTATTTTTTATTGGTGTTCAATTTGCCAACATATAGAATAACACCCAGTGCTCATCCCGTGAAGTGCCCACCTCGGTACCCGTCAACCAGTCACCCCCATCCCCCGCCTACCTCCCCTTTGACCACCTCTAGTTCGTTTCCCAGAGTTAGGAGTCTTTCATGTTCTGTCTCCCTCTCTGATATTTCCCACTCATTTGTTCTCCTTCCCCCTTTATTCCCTTTCACTATTTTTTATATTCCCAAAATGAATGAGACCATATAATGTTTGTCCTTCTCCGATTGTAAGAAGTTCTTTATAGATCTTGGATACTAGCTCTTTTTATCTGATAGGTCATTTGCAAATATTTTCTCCTATTCTATAAGTTGTCTTTTAGTTTTGTTGACTGTTTCTTTTGCTGTGCAGAAGCTTCTTATCTTGATGAAGTCCCAATAGTTCATTTTTGCTTTTGTTTCTCTTGCCTTCATGGATGTATCTTGCAAGAAGTTGCTGTGGCCGAGTTCAAAAAGGGTGTTACCCATGTTCTCCTCTAGGATTTTGATGGAATCTTGTCTCACATTTAGATCTTTCATCCATTTTGAGTTTATCTTTGTGTCTGGTCTAAAAGAATGGTCTAGTTTCATTCTTCTTCATGTGGATGTCCTATTTTCCCAGCCCCATTTATTGAAGAGACTGTCTTTTTTCCAGTGGATCCTCTTTCCTGCTTTGTCAAATATTAGTTGAGGGTCCGCTTCTGGATTCTCTATTCTGTTCCCTTGATCTATGTGTCTGTTTTTGTGCTAGTACCACACTGTATTGATGATCACAGCTTTGTAGGACAACCTGAAATCTGGCATTGTGATGCCTCCGGCTCTGGTTTTCTTTTTTGATATTCTCCGGCTATTCGGGGTCTTTCCTGAGGAATCAATAATCTGAATAGAACAATCACAAGCAAAAAGATCGAATCGGTGATTTTGAAACTTCCCACAGAGAAAAGCCCAGCCCCAGATGGCCTCACTGATTAATTCTGCCAAACATTTAAAGAATTAATACCAATCTTGCATAAGTTCTTCCAGAAAATAGAAGAGGAGAGAACATGTCCCAACTCATTGGATAAGATCACTATTATACCAAAATCAAAGACATTGTAAGAAAACTATATACCAATGTCTTTTACGGGTATAGATGCAAAATTTTCAGTCAAATACTAGCAAGCTGGATCCAGCAGCATGTAAAAGGCATTATACAATATGACCAGGTAAGATTTATCCTAAGTATGCAAGTTTGGCTTAACATCCAAAAAATCACTTAATGTATCTGTAGAGTAAATCACTTACTGTATCTGTAAAGAAGAAAGGAAGTAAATCACTTACCGTATCTGTAAAGAACAATGAAACCCATGATTATCTCAAAAGACACACAAGAGTGCCTGTGACAAAATCCCACACCCTTTCATAATTAAAAAGAACACTAGAAAAATAAGAATTAAAGGGAAATTTCTCAACCGATAAGGGGCATATGTAAAAAAATTTAGTTAACATCATACTTAATGGAAAAAAACTGAATGCTTTTCTCCTAAGGTCCAGGAGCAAGATAAAGATGTCAGCTTTGCCACTTGTATTAGCTTTGTAGTGGAGGTTCTAGCCATGGCTATTAGGCAAGAAGGGGACAAAGAGCACCCACATTAAAGAAAAATAAATAAAACCATTGTTATTCACAGATGACACAATCTTTTATGTAGAAAATATGAAGGAATTCACCAAAAAACTATTGGAACAGGGTCTTGGGTGGCTCAGTCAGTTAAGCATCTACCTTAGGCTGAGGTCTTAGTCCTGGGGTCCTGGGTTTGGACTCCCTGCTCAGCGGAGAGCCTGCTTGTCCCTCACCCTCTGCCCTGTGGACCCCGCTCATGCTCTCTCTTGCTATTTCTCCCTCTCTCTCAATCTCTCTCTCTCTCTCTCTCATAAGTAAATAAATAAATAAATAAATAAATAAATAAATAAATAAAATCTTAAAAAAAAACATCCTGGAACTACTAAGCCAGCAAAGTTGCATGGTACAGGATCAATACAGTTGCATGTACAATAGCATCAAAAAGAATAAAATATTTATAAATAAGCTTAAAAAAAGAAGTCCAAGACCTATACAATGAAAACTACAAAACATTGTTGAAAGTAATTAAAGAAGACCTAAATAAGGTGAAAGACATCTTATGTTAATGGACCAGAAGACTTAATATTATTAAAATGGCAATACTCTCCAAAGCAATGTACAAATTTAACACAAACCCTATCAAAAAAGGTTACTTTTTTGCAGAATTGACAAACTGATCCTAAAGTTCATGTGGAAATGGGAGGAACTCAGAATAGTTAAAACAATCTTGAAAAAAAAGTTGTGGAACTCACATTTCCAGTATCAGAAATACTACCCTGCTGCAGTAATCAAGACAATGCGCCATAAGCAAAAGGTCAGATATATAGAGCAACTAAATTAAATTGAGAGTTCAGAAATAAGCCATTACATTTGTGGTCAATTAATTTTCAACAAAGGCAGCAAGGCAATTCAATGGAGAAAAAAATAGCCTTTTCAACAAACAATGTTAGGACAACCGACTAGCCACAGGCAAAAGAATGAAATTGGACCCTTATACCACATACAAAAATTAACTTAAAGTAGATAAAATATGTAAATGTGAGAGCTAAAACTATAAAACATTGAAAATACAGGAGTGAAATTTCATAACCTTGGATTTGGTAAAGGATTTTTAGAAATGACAACAGAATCATAAGCAATAAAGGAGAAAGATAAACTGATGTCATCGAAAAGTTTTAAAAAACTTTTATGCTGCAAAGGATAACAAAAAGAAAGTGGAAAAATGGGGTACCTGGGTAGCTTAATCAGTTGAGCATCTGATTCTTGGTTTTGGCTCAGGTCATGATCTCATGGGTCATGGGATCGAGCCCCACATCAAAGCTCTATGCTCAGCGGAAGTCTCCTTGGAGAGTCTCTTCCTCTACCTCTCTTGTGCTCTCTTTCTCTCTCTAGCTCTTTCTCAAATAAGTGAATAAAATCCTTTTTTAAAATGTGAAAGACAACCCACAGAATTGATAAAATATGTACAAATCATGTATCTGGTAAGGGACTTGTATCCACAATATTTACAAATCAAAAATAAAAGACAACCCAATTTAAAAATTGAGAAGCATCTGAATAGAGATTTTTCTGAGGAAGATATGCAAATTATCAGTAAGCACATGAAAAGATGCTTGACCTCATTGTTCATCAGGGAAATGCAAATCATTACCACTTCATGCTTGCTGTGATGGCTGAAATAAAAAAAGTTAGATAATTACAAGAGTTGTGAGGGTGTGGAGGAATCGAACCTCTCAAACCCTACTGGTAGGAATGTAAAATGGTGCAGCTGCTTTGGAAAACAGTCTAATAGTTACTCAAATTATCTTTTTGTTTTTAAATATTTTTTAATTTATTTATTTATGAGAGACACACAGAGACATAGGCAGAGGGAGAAGCAGGCTCCCTGAGGAGAGCCCGATGAGGGACTCTATTCTGAGACCTGG